TGCCATTTCGTTACACCTACCAACAGCTACTGAGGAAAACAGTTAGTCTCCGACAGGGGTCATTTCGTAGAAAAAGAGCTAGGGGGACTCATTAGCATAACTCATTAGCATATGCCACACACCCTGACATCACCGGAAGTGTGTCCTCCCCACAGCCGGCGGCGACCTCCAGCGGGCACCAGCAGGGAGCTCCAGGCCCCGCCCTCCCGCACCTCACCTGGGGGGATGGCGTCCCCCCGCGTCCCCCCCCAAATGACCCCTGGTCTCCGACAGGAGGCAACTGTTTTCGTCAAGAGAGAAAGCCGTCTGCCTAGAAATTCTGAGAGGGCACAGTGGCTGAAGGAGTGGGCGGGGAAGAGAAGCAAACCCAGCACCAGTGTTCCCTCTAAGCCGAGTTAGTGTGAGCTAGCTCACAGTTTTTTAGCCTGTGGCTCACACATTTTTGTCTTAGCTCAGGAAGTATGGCTCCAGAGCAAACTTATTTATGCAGCCCCCAAATTGCTCACTCACAACTTTAATGCTAGTAGCTCACAAAGTAGAATTTTTGCTCACAAGACTCCACAGCTTAGAGGGAGCATTGCCCAGCACCCAGCCAATGGCACACGAGTACTCTAGAGTGGTGGCTGGGCGGGACTCAGGCAATGCAGCCAGTGGCTAGGGACACGTTCTGAGTGACAGATCATTCAGCCAACTCATTTTGGCACCGCATAGAATGTTGCCAGACTAAATTGCAAATATGTATAAGGATTTATATCCCGCTTTTTCCCCCAATAGGGACCCAAAGTGGCATAGAACATTGTTTTTCCCTCCTCCATTTTCTCACAGCAAGCACCCTGTGGGGTAGGTTAGGCTGCCAGAACATGGCATAAGGCCACCCAGTGAGCTTCCATGGTAGAGGGGGGATTCAAACCCAGAACTCTCAGGATCCCACACTGACACACTAAGAAACACAAAACAAAGGGAAAAAGTAGTGGGGGGTGGAAGAGGAAAATAAATTTAAGTATGTTGTACCTATTCTGGGAAAGAGAGGAGCCAGAACTGTGCTTAAGGACCTTTACTGAATATCTGTTTTGGGGTGCAGTTCAAAGAGCTGGTTCATATTTAAAATTCTAAAGGGTCAAGGACCAGTATAATTAAAAGCCTTCCTGCTTGCATAGAACTTGAATAAATTTTGATATGATCTTCTGATGTCCTGCATTAGTGAAACGAGGTGCGTGGCCATAAAGAACAGGGCCTTTTTTGTTGTGGCAACTTGTCTGTAAAATACCTGTCCTGTTTTCCTGCTGGTAGAAAACTTGTTAACTTTGTGGCACCTAGCTAAACTTGTTTTTAAATCTTTTGTCAGTAGCTGATATCTGGGGCCTTCTGCTGTTTATTTTATCTGTTCAATTCTTGCTGATGGATTTCAGTGTATGTAGTTTTATGTGTTTTTTAAAAAATCTTTTTTGTTTTTATGCTATTTATTCTACTTTTTGAATGTATAATTTTTATTAATTTTAACGATTTCAATACAATACAATAGCTTTGACATCTGATAAACATTAATAAAAATAACCAATTGTAACCATAACACACTTAAGCATACAACCAAACAATCAAGTTTTATGTTAGGAGAAGTTGAATGCAACTTACTGTTCTACATATATTCTACTTTTAACATTTTATATTGCATTGTATGTTTGTTTTGAAAGTTACCTTAGACGAACCTTTGGAGACTCTGGTATACAGGTATATTAAACAAATAAATGTTGGTTTGTCACAGCTGAGCTACTGGAGAGGGTCTTGCTGTCTCCCTCAAATGCAGACAGCTTTTAATATCATGAGCTACTAGAAGGGACTATCAGTGCGACCTTGCTGTACCAGCATTAATGTAACTCTCCTTTTTGCAGAACTCAGAGCAGAAGTGGTTCCCTTGTTCCCTCTCAGCAGCACACGGGGCCCTCCCGCACAGTCAGACGCTATCCAGCTGCTAATAATGGTCAGCTCACATCCAATGCACTGCCCAATGGGAATGGGTTTGAGCACAACAGTGCTGGGCCTCGCATGACCTATCCAGAGCCTGCTCCATCTCTCTGGGGTAAGGTCCACAGAATGTTTTATTCTTTGGCAAATGGAAATCTTCTGAGTGCAGTTGTGTGAGGTTGTTAGGAGGGTTCTTGGTTAGGTTATAGCTATTTTGTGACTCCATATCCCTTGAAACGTGCCAGCAATCTCTGTAACATGTTAGAAAAATGTAAAATGTAATAATTAAATCATGGAAATAAAAGTCAGAAAGGGAGGGGGGAAGAAAACAAAAGATGAAGGGTTTTTTTCCTTTAGAAAAAGACTAAACTCCTGTGGGCCTTCACAGATGTGTAGGACAAAAAGATACTGAAACAGGATTTAGCCAGCTGTTCCAGGCCAGGAGGCTCTTGCCCTGTTATATTCCTGTTTAATGTTGCTGAGTTTTACTAGCCTGAAAAATGTGCTATATTTTTATTCCATTTCTGTTTCTATTAGTTGGAGACATCAGAATTTTAATGGTATTCAGAGCTGTGATCAGTTTCTTCTGCTGATTTTGGGGTCTCAAGGCTGTCTGATTTCCATCCCGTCTTCCCTGGGTGCCTTGCTCTCTCATTCTAGGTGTATAAGATTAGGGTATTCAGAGTGATGGGAAGGCACTATTCATATGCTCAGAGGCATTTTTCTTCATCACATAAAGACTTCAACCCAGGTATAGGGAAATAAATTTCAGTTATTAGCCCTTTTCCAGAAGAGCTTCCCATCATCCCTGTCCATATCCTGAAACTTTCCCCCTTCTTAGTGCACCAAAGTAAACTTTCTCTGCACTTCCACCCAAAACACTGCTTCTCTCCATGTTATGTCAACTTCTTTTCTTCCATCTGTGACACCTCCACCCTCATAATTACTCTCTCCATTATTCCTTTCTCCTCCGTCTCTACTAATTGGCCTGGCTCTGACTTTGCTCTCTTTTCTCAGCTGGAGGGAGAAGGGAACAGACTGGAACACAGCCATATACTGTGCTGAGCTATGAAGGAGGAGGCATTATTATTGTGGATTATTATTGTATCCAAGCCTCAGGATAACATTCTCCATCTCCTCCATTAAAACGGGACAAGGACAGCAGTTAAAAGGGCAGAAAAAATATAAAGTAGAAATATTCCAATGATATTTTGTTTAATGTTTTCTTTTCTCCCCGCACTTTTTAAATTTCAGTGGTTTGTTTAACTCCTCAAAAATTCTGTTGGTTAACTAACAAAACCTGCAATTACTGCTGTCAGCCCTCCTCTCTTAACAGTATATAATGTTGCTTTATAAGTTTCTTATCATGTGTTATGAAAAGGTAACATTACAAGAGTTTTCATAAAGTTTTTTTAAAAGCCTATTATATGCAGCAAGTTGTTTGAAGGAGATGCAAAGATTTGCCAGCCAAACACATGTGGCCATAGTAGATGTGATTTGGAAGATTTGTGATCCGGATCTTATTCCCCCCCCCCCCCCCTTTTTTTTTTTCAAAACAGCTGCATGGTGTTGATAATTTGATCAGGAAAGCTGAGCTGGAGAAGGGGCTTGTTTAGCCTTTTCCTTCCACACTAATTCCATGCTCTAAGTTGCATCTTCTGAAGCTGTGTGCTTTGGGGGGTGGGGTGGGGGATAAACCAGGGCTGGTGATAACTATTTAGACCAGGGAAAGGAATTTAACACCTTCTTCCCTAGCACTGCTTCCCTGATCAGACTAGACACAGACTTTGCATTTAGCACAATGAGATAGATTGGTGAGGTGACAAAGTGGATTTTAGACTGCAGAGGGTCATTCACAGGTTTCAATGTTCCTCTACATTTAAAGAAAAATCTCCAGCTGCATGGTGTTGATAATTTGATCAGGAAAGCTGAGCTGGAGAAGGGGCTTGTTTAGCCTTTTCCTTCCACACTAATTCCATGCTCTAAGTTGCATCTTCTGAAGCTGTGTGCTTTGGTGGGGTGGGGGATAAACCAGGGCTGGTGATAACTATTTAGACCAGGAAAAGGAGTTTAACACCTTCTTCTCTAGCACTGCTTCCCTGATCAGACTAGACACAGTCTTTGCATTTAGCACAATGAGATAGATTGCTGAGGTGACAAAGGGATTTTAGACTGCAGAGGGTGATTCACAGGTTTTAATGTTCCTCTACATTTAAAGAAAAATCTCAGTTAGTAAAAAAAACAAGCAAAAGCATCTAGCATGGCAAGGAAAACAGTTCGAATCCACCTGCTTCCTCCTGTGCTACTTTTCTGCTTGCAGAGAATTGTGTTTTTGTAGGGGAGTATTAAAGCTTGTCTAATGAGGTGGTAGACTCTGGAAATGATAGAAATTATGTAAGTAAAATATAGATGGATAGATAGAGAGATAAAATGGAAAACACAAAACCAAACCGTGATCCTCCACCTGTTCTTTGAAATGACACAGTTACTTCTATCATTTCCAGAGTCTACTCCATGTATAGTCTGCTGCATGTATAGATTAGATCTCAGGAGCCCCACACAATTGTTTTGTCATAAAAATGAGAGATCTTGATCATGGATCTCCACATCATGTCTACTTTTGAGGCCAGGAAAAATGATAAAACATGAAGTTAGGGCCAGAGAGGAAGGAACATTTAGATTTCATGATAAACATAAGAGGGAGAGGGGAAGCAAGGTGCCTAAGAGAACCATGTCATGCTTGATCAGCCCATAGTCAGAATCTTAAATCTGTATTCTTCTGGCTCTGTTACTTTTCTCCGCAGGTGCCAATCTGACAGAAAAAATCCGAAAGATAAAGATTGTCTTCACCCCCACAATCTGTAAACAGACCTGTCAAAATGGCCGCTGCTACAATAGCTGCGAGAAAGGGGACACCACCACCCTGTACAGCCAGGGTGGACATGACCATGATCCCAAATCTGGCTTCCGTATCTGTGAGTCTTCCAAGATGTCTGACCCATTTCACAAGGTTTATTTAAGTTCCTCTGTTTCTTTTGTTTGCCAGACTAGCAATTGCCTGTAAAAGTAGAATTCAGAGCTGGAGGATTATGATGCCTTGATCTGCCTGAAAAAGAAAGTCTTCTCTCAGACTGGTCTTGACCTCTCTGGGACAAAGGGTCAGATATCAGTCCTTGCTCTGAATGTAACAGGTTTTTGGCTTACAGTCACAGACAGGCAAGGCAGCATTTCTTCTTGCCAGGGCCAGTTTGCTGCTTTCGTTGGCATTTGTTTTGGAGTCTGACTCCCGTCACCTAACTTCTTCCCATTATACTGGCTTTGTATGTGCCTTCTACTGAGATTGGGTCCCCTTATAGCCTATTGCTTTTGAATAAGAACAACTCAAAATGTGGCAGCCAGCATCCGGACTACGCGCCATGGCTTTTTATGGCTTATGGAACTTCTGAAATGTCCACTCCATGATGAATTGCACGTCAAACTAGACTTTGATATTACAACTCTACTGGAGTGAGACACAGTAAAATACTTGGGACTTTATTTTTCTTTCCATTTATTCTTCTTTCTGTATCTTGGTTACACCTTGGCCAATATTGTTATATAATTATATTTTTGCATTATTGAATTATTATTACACGTTTCATATATTGGTTATCTCTAGTCAGTGGTTTTTGTGCTTTGTTCCTATCCTTGTACACTGGCTCCCCTTCTTTTTTGGTTGCTTATTCCCAATGAATAAAGCAGCTGAACCTTCCCTCTGATCTTGCTGCTGCTGAAATTTGATAGGAAATTTCAGTGAACTGGACCAATCAGCTATATGAATCCACTGCTCTAGAGTTTGACTCTGTGTGGTTCCATTTGGAATGGCCTTGAGCAGGCTCCCGGAACAGAAAAAGCAAATGCTAACTTTTTATGACTGATTTTTGTTTAGGATGTTTCTACATGGAAGTCTTTAATTGAGTTTGGCTTAGGCTGGTAAATTTGGTGTAAACCTTTCTTTGGCCACACTGGACATTCCTTTGCTCTTTGATATTCTTCTAGCCCAGGGGTCCCCAACTTTTTTGAGCCTGTGGGCACCTTTGAAATTTGGGGTCAGCACCACCCCAAAGTGGCTTCCTCAGTAGGTGGAGCCAAAAAATGTCTGTCTCAGGAGGCAGAGCTAAGCACAATACCTTCCTCCTCATTTTGCAAAAGCATCATAGAAGGGGAATAAAAAGAAATCAAGGAAAGCCTGAGGAGGGGAGGGGAGGAGAGGGAAGGAGCAAGGGGAATAAAAAGAAGGAAGCCTGAATGTGAAATGGAACCACCAGCCACAAATTAAAATGACAGATATTATAATTCTCCTGTATTGATCTATGGTGCGGCCTCATTTGAAATACTGTGTGCAGTTCTGATCACTGTATCTCAAAAAGGACATCGCAGAGCTGGAAAAAAATACAGAAGAGGACAACCAAGAAGATTAGGGGACTGGAGCACCTTCCCTATGAGGAAAGACTGAAGAGTCTGGGACTTTTCAGTTTAGAGAGAAAACAAGAGGGGGACATAAGAACATAAGAGAAGCCAATGTTGGATCAGGCCAATGGCCCATCTAGTCCAACACTCTGTCACAGAGTGGCCAAAAATACCAGGTGCCATCAGGAGGTCCAGCAGTGGGGCCAGGACACTAGAAGCCCTCCCACTGTTGCCCCTCCCCTCAAGCACCAAGAATACAGAGCATCACTCACCCCAGACTGAGAGTTCCTATCTATACCTTGTAGCTAATAGCCACTGATGGACCTCTGCTCCATATGCTTATCCAATTCCCTCTTGAAGCCATCCATGCTTGTAGCTGCCACCACCTCCTGTGGCAGTGAATTCCATGTGTTAATCACTCTTTGGGTGAAGAAGTACTTCCTTTTATCCGTTCTAACTTGACTGCTCAGCAATTTCATTGAGTGTTCATGAGTTCTTGTACTGGAGATAGATAGGTTTATTAAATTATGCATGGGGTGAAGAGAGTTGACAAAGAGAACTCTTTCTTCCTCTCCTAAAATACCAGAACTTGAGGGCATCCAATGAACCTGATAGGCAGTAGATTCAGATGGACCAAAGGAAATACTTCTTTACACAGCAAGTGATTAAATGTGGAATTTGCAGCAAGAGGATGGCCACAGGCAGAGATGGCTTTAACAGGGGATTTGTTAGAGTTATGGAGGATAGATCTATCAGTGGCTCCTAGCCTTGGTGACTAGATGGAATCTCCATGTTCAGAGGTAGTAAACCTCTGAATCTCAGTGCCAGGAGGCAACATCAGGGGAAGGCCTCATCCTGTAAGGCCTGTTGTTGGACCTCCAGAGGAACTGGTTGGCCATTGTATGAGACAGAATGCTGGACTAGATGGACCACAGGTCTGATTCAGCAGGGCTTTTCTTAGTTTTTATGCCCTGGTGCTTACCAGTACTTCTAATCCTCCATTGCCTGTTGCAGTCAAGGAAGCTGCTTTTATTTGAATGAGGGCAACCAATAACAAGCCCTGCCTTACAATAATCCTGCCCACTTTCTGAAAAACCTGGCAGGTGTCAGGGGAAGTATTGGCGAGCACTATGGTATCCATTGGCAACTCATTGAAGAACCCTGTTCTAGCCCATAGTAATAACATTCTTCCCTGGCAGAAGTATTCTGAATCAGACCACTGGTCTATCAAGGTCAGTACTATCTACTCTGACTGGCGTCAGGGTCTCAGGGTGAGGTCCTTCACTTCACTCACTACCTGATCCCATTTAACTCAATGTGCCAGGAATTGAACCTGGGACCTTCTGCATGCCAAATAGATGCTCTACCACTGAGCCATGTCCCCACCTACAGACATATTCTGAAAGCTGAAGCTGAATTTAAGCCTTGTAGGTGAAAATGTGTTGTCAGAAGTGAAGCTAGCTAAATGCTTTTGTTGGCTCATGGTTTTTCTAGAATAGATATTTTTCTAGTTCTGAAATTTTTCTGTGATGACGGGGAGGTACTGAAGTGAACGTGTAGCCTGTGTGAGTTACTTCCCAGAGAAAGTCTGTGGTATATTTAATGGTTAAAATTGGATTTTATACATTTATTTCCATATATTTATCTTGCGGCTGTCTTTCTCTTAACAGATTTCTGCCAGATTCCCTGTCTAAATGGAGGGCGCTGTGTTGGCAGGGATGAATGTTGGTGCCCATCTAATTCAACAGGGAAGTTTTGCCACCTGCCAGCTGTAAAACCAGAAAGAAAGCAAGTGGGGAGGTCTTCAAATAGCCTGACTAGTAGCTCCATGAGGCAGTCTATGTACACACTTCCTCTGTCCAACCATCTTGGTAAGCTGGTTCTCACAGGTTGCAGGTGTATGAAGTCCACTTTACTTATATCTGAACCACCCATTCCTCTTGTCATGTAGTGTCAAAATTATTGCCCGGTTTTACAAGTGCCTTTAAAGAGGGATGGGTCTTTCATTGACTTGTTTTCCATTCTAAATGCATCCCTAATAGTTCTTAACTATGAATGATCCTAAAGAACTAGTACTCAACAGTGTTTGCTTCAAGATGGGTACACATGGAGATGTTAGCGAAAAAAGGTACTTATGGGCAGTGTTCACACGCACGAGATAATGTGGGGGGGGGAAGCGAGGCTATTTGCTCCGCAGGAATTTGACTCGCATTTGCGCGATCACACAGTCCCTGGGAACTGCGGGGGTGGCCCGCCACTGCGTGATCAGACGCAACCGTGGGTGAGTCAGGGTTTTTTTGGGGGGGGGCGCGGATTTCCGGTGTTCTTCAACAAGGGATTGATGATTCACATCTCTGCACCGAGTGCTCCCTATGCAGTGTGTGATGATGCGCATACCAAAACGGGGGGAAAAATGACATGGAGTCGGGATGGCCCGAGCAGACCATCCTGACCCCATGGAAGCGCGCTGCTGTGATCACACTGAGGAAAGTCTGTTCCTGGCCCGTAGCAAACTCTTTTGCTACTGGGTTTCCCCTGTGTCTTTTTACTCCATAAGAACATAAGAGACGCCAATGTTCTTGTCATGTAGTGTCAAAATTATTGCCCGGTTTTACAAGTGCCTTTAAAGAGGGATGGGTCTTTCATTGACTTGTTTTTCATTCTAAATGCATCCCTAACAGTTCTTAACTAGGAATGATCCTAAAGTAGTAGTACTCAACAGTGTTTGCTTCAAAATGGGTACACATGGAGGTGTTAGCGAAAAAAGGTACAAAAGGGCAGTGTTCACACACGGGATAATGCGGGGGGGAAGCGAGGCTATTTGCTCCGCAGGAATTTGACCCGCATTTGCGCGATCACACAGTCCCTGGGAACTGCGGGGGTGGCCCGCCACTGCGTGATCAGACGCAACCGTGGGTGAGTCAGGGTTTTTTTGGGATTGTGAGAAAGGGAGAAAAGTACCTCTTTCTCTACCTGCTCTTTCCCATGCATAACCTTATAAACCTCAATCATGTCTCCCCTCAGTCGTCATTTCTCCAAGCTAAAGAGCCCTAAGCGCTTTAACCTTTCCTCATAGGGAAAGGGTTCCAACCCTTTTATCATTCGAGTTGCCCTTTTCTGCACTTTTTCCAAAGCTACTTCTTTCCCACTTCTGCAATGGAGCAAAACGGGTTGCCAACGGGAGCGGGACACTTGGCTGATGTTGGCATGTGATCGCGCCCATAAAATCTGCCGGCATTCGTGCCTATGGCGCGGCTAATTCTGCATGTGATCGCGCCCATGCTGTGGACTTTTCATGTGAATATGTTGTTGCTTTTGCTGCTCTTTTGAAGCATCTCCAAATTCGTTCTCAAATCAGATCAATATAAAACATTTACAAATGAGATTTATGAGATTTAATGTAAGAAAAGATTTGAGATATTAATTAAAATTTGATCCAATGTAGTGTCTTTAAATTAACATAAGTGGAGCTCTGCTTGCAGAATAAGAATTTCCCACCCCCTGCTACTGGCCACTGCACCCCCAAACATGCCCCTGGGGACAGGACCCCCTCCCCAGAAACTGCACTGGGCAACATGTGGGGGATCTACAGTAAGAGGTGAAATCACTTCTTCTCCTTTGCCTGAAGAAGAGCGCTTCTGCCAGCAGAATATAAGGTTTGGATCCAACTCATTGTTACCAGATTACATTCATAAGAGTACTCATTTCAGGGATTTTTTTGAGATCATAGTCTCTATGTAGCCCAGACAGAAACCTGCCTAGGTGATGGGTGCTTTTAATCATTTTGTCCAAATTCTGAAGCTCACAGATTCCTCGTCATTCTCTGGGCTTTATTCCAAGCCAGACACTATTTCATCGGCTTGTACATTACATGCTATAAGTGATGGTTGATTTTTGATTTGCTGTTTGGTGTGATAACCAATGTGACTTTGTAACTACCGTGGATTTCTAAATTTTTGAAGTGTATCTGCTCTATTACTTTCCATCCTGGAAACCTTGTGCTGGTTTGTAGGTGCCTGCATTCCAAGAGAGATAATGTTTACACTGGTAAATGTCTAACTTTTCTTTCAGCTTCGATACATCCTTCCCTTGTGAATGTACACATTAACCACCCTCCAGAGGCTGTAGTGCAAATCCATCAAGTGGCTAGAGTGAAAAGTGACTCAGACCAGTCTGAAGAGAACAGTGTTGAAACTGTGTTGATGTCTCAGCTTCCCACTGACCCCCAGTACACTGATAATACCACCATCAGGAACAACATAGTTGCAGAGAGCAACCAGCTGCAGAGGCCCCAGGGCCTCGTGGGGAAATGCTACCTGAAGACAGTATATGGAAAGGTAAGAGATGTTCGGTAATGACCCCACTAGGTGACCTTGGGGCTCACATCCTCTCTCATCCTAACCTATCATAAAGAGTTGTTGTAAGAATAAACTAGAGGAGAGTCCTGGAGGAAAGGTGATTAAAGTGTAATCGGTTAATAGTCCATATATGGGGTGTGAGACTATGGATATTGTATGTGTGATGTGTGAGCTTTTTCATGGGCAGGCTTATGAAATATCAGAGTGAAAAAGTATTCAAAATTTTTAGAATATCATATTTTTTAACCACATAGTCATCTTTTAGCATGCTGCCCATTTTTGGAATCATTGCTGTAGTACAGCAAATCGGGATCCACATCTACATATTGAAATTACATCCATTCAAACCACGTCTCATCCTCACAAAGAGATTGTGTTAATTGTTCTCTGTAGTATAGAAACATAGTATCCCTGCTCAGTAGAGTGTATTCATACGTCTGGAGGCAGCCCGTGGCAAACGTTTACTAGTACCTTGGAGGTACTAGTTTTTAAATCCGCATTGTCGGCAGTAAGCCACAGGTGCGCTCCACTTCACAGATGTTGGGGTGTGATCACGCTCAGATAATCCGCTCACCTTCTGTGCCTCTCCCGCGGCAACATTGCCGTGTGACCGGGACCATAGTCATCTTTTAGCATGCGGCCCATTTTTTGAATCATTGCTGTAGTACAGCAAATCAGGATCCACATGTACGTATTGAAATTACATCCATTCAAACCACGTCTCATCCTCACAAAGAGATTGTGTTAATTGTTCTCTGTAGTATAGAAACATGGTATCCCTGCTCAGTAGAGTGTATTCATATAGCTGCTTCCATTACTCCTGGTTTGGTGATGTGAGGAGGTATCATCTTCACATCACTCAGGTATCATTCCACTCCAAGCTGTAAGGCAGCAGTACAGGTTACAGTGACCTCCATCAGCCACCCAAATGGCAAAGAGATGAGTGCATACTGAAGCAATATCTGCTTGTATACTTCACTTTGATCTGTTTAAGTTCGTGCAGTGGAGACAGGCCCTTGGTGGGATCTGTAGCTGCTGCCTTGACCGAATATTGTACTGAGATTGTTGTTTCAACCTTCATGTCTGTCTTCTCTTCCTTACACACGTCCATTTAGGGTTTGGAGTGCCCTTTGAATAGCTGCTCTATGTGTGTCACAGTGGCTTGGAGGAAGGACAGGGGGAACCTAGAGATGGAGGACCCTGCTTTCCCAGCCCTCCCTGAAGCTGTTTGGCTGTTGTTTGCCCCTAAAGCAAAGCCTACACAAGCACTTAATGGGTAGCTGCTACCAGCCTGTCTGTTTAAAATCTGACTGGCTAAATTCTTCCTCTCTCTTCCATGCACATGCAATCTCTCCCCTCATCCAGCTACACATACAGCCTGGCTTCACTGAGAGCTGGCACACACGGAAGCTAGGCCTTTTTCCCCAGTCTCAGACTCTGAACAAAAAAATATATTAATTTTATTTGGAAAAGAGAGGAAGGACTGCTATAACTAGTTGCATGGGAAGAGGGGAGTGGGGGAGGATTCCAGAGACAGGGAGAATGCAAAACAGAGTTAAAATAAGACAGCCTGACTAAACTGGTTCTCTGGCTTACAGTTCTTCATAGACTTAAAGCAATGTTGGCCCGACATGGGTCTATCCTGCAAGGAACTCCTCTTCCCATCCCTGCTCCTGGAAAAGGCAGTTGTCACTCCCACTTCAGGGTTTATATCATTATAATCACACACTCCCCTTGCATGGATAGGTGCTCCGTTTTTGCTCTGGCTGGTGCTAAGCCTGTCTGTCATTTCGGGGGTCCCCAGTGTGGTACCCATGGGCACCACAGTGACTGTCAACATCTTTCTTGGTGGCCACGAAGTGTTTTTAGAGGGCAGGTGCGGCTGCCTCCTCCTGTCCCCAAGTCCAGCCGGGGCACGCTGCCAGGCCAGCGAGGGTGGTGGAGGGAAGGCTGGCGGAGGCTGAACGCCATCCCCAAAGAAGTGCCCGTGGTGTCCCCAGTCCAGGCCGCGGTGGCCCCGGGAAGTGCGGTGCGGCCTTGCCCCCCGGTTCCCAAGGTGAGCGGCGGGGGCAGCACCAGGAACCCTGGCAGAGGCCCCCCTGCAGAAATGCCCGTGGCGTCTGTGGGCACAGGGAAGCGCGGCACGGCCATCCCCTTCTCTCCCCAACAACTGGGTGCCGCCGCCACCACCATTCGGACCCGTCCCCAGTTCTGGAGAGGCCAACTAGCCTCGTCCCCCCCCCAGCCAATGGGATGCCAGGAGTCCTGAGCGGCAGCTGGTGGCCCAATGGCTGAGGGAGTGCATTTCTTCTCGCCACCCCATAGGATGGTGGCCACCCCAAAACACAATTATTTAAAGGAGAGATATTGTATTTTACATTGTTTTTACAGTGGGCCCTGTTTCTTTTCACTGGTCTACTTGGATATCTTCCCCTCTTCCCTTTTTCCTGTAATCCTTTCTCAAAAGAGTTATTGGTGAGGCCTACATAATCAAGTGGATAAGCCCTCAGCATCCATACCTAGGGCAAGGAATTTTGGGTTTTATTAGACTCAGTTCCATTGCATTTCCAAAGCTTATATTTCTTACCAGAGCAAATACTAGATGATTAATTTTAAAAACAAGAGCTTTAAACTGAAACTTTTCATTATATGCAATTAATAGATGAGTTCAATGTTTCTCTCAAAGGCCTGTCCTCTGATTCATTCAGTGGTAAGAAGCACTTTTAGGCCTGAAGTGGTCTTCTGTAGAGTTCTACAGGCTACCACAGGGCAAGGATCTTTGGTCTGTTCTTGCCTTCTTCAGCTGGGTCAGAGTCTGCAACTGAGCAGACTGGGTGATGGCTAGAATCCTGAACAGGAAGTATTTGTCTCTTCCATTTCAGTCTGAAGCCAAACTTATTGGAATGTGAGCACTGGGCACATGGCCATTTTTTGGGGATGGATGAGTGCCAGATTTGGCCCGTGGACCACAACAGCTCAGCTCTAATGGGAAAGACTGTAATCCAGAGGGCCTTGTTGGGCGGGAAAGAGAGACTTATTAAGTAAATGAAAAATGCCTCACCACAAACGTCCCCACAAGGTCTGGAACTGTGTACCCATCTCGCTAGCTAATAGACATAAGTCTGGGAGAAGGCATTTGTTTTATCCACAGGCTTTGCTCAGTGATATCATCTCAGGGTTTTCTTTTGCTACACAAACCTAACAGTAATGCCTCGTGTCTTATACTAATATATGAGCATTCCAAGGGGCAAAATAACAGGCAGGCTTTCATTTCCTTGTCTGTGAGTCTGTTTATTGTTTCAAAATACATCTCTGGTCTTGCAGGGAACTGTGCTGCTTGTAATGTGTTAGCATGTAAAGTATGAACCAGGCACCTCTGCTATAGCTGTGGATCACTCCTCCACAGAAAGCCACAGCTATTATTCTCCTTTTCCTCCCCCACTGTCTGGTTTTCTGTAGCATTTTGTCAAGCATCTTGTACCCCTTGAAGGAGCGAATGGGGGACCAGGCATTTTGTATGGCATAGTTTTTCTCCCTGAGCGTTGAACAGAGACAGAATCCTGATGCTCATTCTATTCTTTTGTAGTGTGCTGAACCATTGCCTGGTCTGTCCAAATATGAAGATTGTTGTGGCAGTGTGGGGACCTTCTGGGGGATAAGCAGATGTATCCCATGCCCACAGAAACCAGGTAAGTGCTGTCCAAGGGAAGCATTGTTAATCTCTGCTTACCTTGTAGAGACAGTCTCTGAACATGGGGAGTCTGAACATAAACTGGGCTTTGATAGAGATGATCCATTTGGAATAGGACAAGGAAAAAAACCAGAAAATTGGAGCTCAAGGCATGGCCACTCATCCCAGAGACACTGTGGGCAAAATTAGATGTGACAGCATCTTTGTGTCCACCAGTGTGACACCACGGCCATTGTAAAGCCTAAAGTGGGCAACTTAAAAATGCCATGAGGGCTCAATTCTGATCCCCACCATGGCCATTCAGTACTTGAAAAGCTTCACGGTGGGGACGATGACACAAGAACACCTCATCCCTCTGCTCTGCAGTTTTAGATTACCCATTTTAGTCTTTAAAGTGGTGGTGGCATCCCTATGGTGGACATGAGGACCTTGTCACGCCTGTTCCTTGTTAAACATGGGTGTTTTTCCTGAATAACCTTGGGTGACAGCATGTGTGACATTTTCACTGATGTTTACTTGGACTTAATGTTGGCTTAGGTGCCAGCAAGAATTAGTTTGGCTTTGTTGCTGGCTCAGAGCCCTTCAATTTCCCACAAACCACCTCTTTAAAACCCCAGGGCAGACTGATGTTTGTTCCCTCATAAGAGATGTTAGGCAAGAGAAAACTGGAAAACAACGGCCATCGTTTTAGGCAGTACAGCTACATATTGGCTGGAGAGGCTCTATACTCAGCCTGCCTTTGGAGCTATAGCCTGATAGAATTACTGGCCTGCTTTAGATGAGGGCTTGGCGAAGGCTCTGGAAATAACACCACATCAAACAATTGGCAGGATTGAATCTAGAGCCCATTCCAGGGGCATAGAATTCCAGCTCTGGGTTTTCTTTACTCAGTACCCTGAGACACTGATGTAGCACTGTTGTAGACTTTGGCTGAATTTATTTGAAAGGATCATGATGTATCTGCGCATTATTCCTTGGTGTGTGCAAGAATGAGACTGAATGCACAGGCATTTAGCATTTCTCAGGTCAGCTATTCTGTTTGCCTCCTCTTGAAGTGCAAACACATATGTTTCCACATTGGGGCCAGTTCACATGACCATATTTATAAAGCGAGAGTGACAGCTATCAAGTGATTTTTGCTTATGTGAGTTGAGATCAGTTTCTGCACAGAGT